AATAATGATATTATTTGTTACAAAATATCTTGTTATAAGACTGTATGTTAAATTTGTGTTACATGATTTATTAGCTATAGACATTTCAGATCAAAATTCACAAGACTATTGTTGACATTTAATAACAGTATTAATACAAAATACTTAAGACTATACAATACACATTGTTTCAACTATCATTAAGAAACAGAATTCAATCGCTCTGAAGAACAACTGTGTCGTTTTCTGGTGGCGAAAATTGTTCCTATAAAATTTAGGGTGTCCCCCGATGGATCAGTGAGAGGTTTCAGGACTTACAATGCTAAAATCTAAAGTTCGATTCCCTGTGATGAAGAGCGTGCATGTAGGCTATTGGGTATCTTTACACTAAGAAAAGAACAGCATCACAAAGTTTGGAAAATTTCAATGACCAGTAGGGTTTCAGTACATTTATTTTTCAATCGTTATCGATTCTACATGCAAAAGTGTTCTACTTCTGATGATCTAATAGGCTGTCTTGGTTTTAGGAGTCTTATGTGTGCATATTCGATTTATTAAGGTAAATTTATTCATTCGTTCACTAATTATGGTTACTTTATAATATTGTGTTATGCAGGCATACCATGTTCTCCTACCATCTATAGTGATATAATTCTTTTTCTAAATTGTTGACAAGATATACACTGTCATGGCGGAAATACGTGGCCAGAGGAGTCTAACATTATATTATTGTAGTTGCTTTAACCCTTTGTTATTTAGCTAGACGACGTTTTCTACCCATAGGATTAAATCAGTCTGTATTTGGCACAGCATGACCAGGTGGTTTGGGCGCTTGAATCGCAATATGAAAGTCATGGGTTCGCGCAAAGCTTACGAGGGTTATCTGCGCTAGCCGTCCCTAATTTAGCAGTGAAAAACTAAAGGGAAGGCAGCTAGTCATCGTCACCTACCACCAACTCTTGGGCTACTCTTTTACCAACGAATAGTGGGATTGACTGTCACATTATAACGCCCCCACGGCTGAAAGAACGAGCATTTTTGATTCAATGGAGATTTGAAATTCAAAACAAACTAAACCAGTCTGTATTTTGAACTTGGGTTGAACTAGTTGGAACTGGAATATCATTTTCTGGCTGAACTTCGACGTCAGATAGATTTCATAACTAGCCAATGCTATCGGAAAACAAATGTCGAGAGGTGAAGC